TTCTAATCAATTCACAACTTAAAAAAGAGATGGGTTAAAGAAAGTATGGTACAACCAGGGTGGAATGCTATGTAGCTGTTTAAAAGACTGAGACAATTAAGTAAAAAGGAAAAAAGAACACCAAGATTCAGAAGAGTGTTGCTATGGTCTGAATATGTCCCTCCAAAATTTACGTTGAAATTACAATAATTCCTTGGACTCTCAAAAGGAGAGAATAAAAATACCAGAGGTGGGAAAGGGGGAAGGAGAGATGGGGTTAGGGAGAAATTGGTAAAGGGCCACAAAAAATGTTTATATTGTGTAATGATTAAAAAACAAAAACAAAAGCAAAAAACAAAAAAACAAAATTTATGTTGAAATCTAATCCCCATTATGGTGGTATTAAGAGCTCCGGCCTTTTGGGAAGTGATTAAGTCATGAGGGCTTTGCTCTCATAAGTGGGATTAATGCTCTTATAAAAGAGGTTGAAGGGAGCTGCTTTGCCCCTTCAGCCACCTGAGGACTCAGCAACAAGGCACCATATGGAGCAGAGGGAGAGCCCTTACCAGGCACCGAATCTGCCAGTGTCTCGATTTTGGACTTCCTAGTCTCTAAAATTGTGAGAAATAAATTTCTATTATTTATAAATTGCCCAGTCTAAGGTATTTTGTCTTTAAAAAAAAAAAGAAGTTTATTTAAACAACAAGACCCTTTACTTGAAGGGAAAACTATCTAGGATTCTTTTTTTTTGTTAAGAGTAATTTACCCCTAGTTAAAGACAGATTATCCTACATGTAACAGCTACATACAAAAAAGTTATAAAATTGTCCTTGTTTTTACCATGATAAATGAAAAACTTAAAAATTCTCCAATCGAACAAGGCATGAAAAATTTTTATGTTTTGTTGTTGTTGTTAAAAGAGTGAGAGCAAAATAACTTACTGGAATATAAAGATAAGAGCTAAATGAGCATGCCACTAATGGAGAAAGGGGGTATTTTCACCAAACAAGTATTTTCCCTATCCCATCTCCACTAGATGTCAATCAAAACATACCACTGGCCATTTAGTTAAAAAATGCAGTATGCTTGTGCACATACACCGGTTACTTTATGTACAATAATGAAAGAATAGAGAAAACTATCCTGTAATAATGAGGAGGTGATGGAACCAAATCGCAGTTTTCTAGTTGAGAATGTATTCTCGCTCTGCAAGAAGCGAGTTCTGGAGTAAAGTAGCAGGTTCCCTTTCTAGTACATTACCTCCTGTCTGCTGCTGGAACACATCAATTGTTTCTTCGTCCTCTATGTCCAACTGTGCAGATGTTCAGTACTAGTTTTAAAGGCTTTTCTCTCCACTACAGCCTGCCATAAGGTCATTTTCCTCACCTTTACGTGAACATAGAATGGATATTTCCATCTCTATGACAGATTATGCATTTTGCATCTTCCTCCGTCTTTCTGTCTATTTTGTGAATGACTCTTTTCAATTCCCATTAAATTTTTCCTCAAAATCACGAGTTAGCATTTGATTTTGTGATGTGCCAAAATTTTATATGGATTCGTCTTATGTTCTCAACTAAATTAACTTAATGAGATATGAGGTCTGGAGATTAAGAGGTAGTCCTATTCAAAGAATGTGGGGCAGAGTTCAGTATTGTTTTCACTGCACCGTGACTCCAGTAAACAATGGGTCATTTAGAATATAGAACAATTGGACCTATCAATCAGAATGGACAATGGCTAGGACACCTGTCAGAAAGGAAGCTCCCTGATGGGAGGATTCATTTCATTCTTATTTGTCAACCCCACAGCACGATGTTAGCGTCAAAGGATGAAATAATTGGCTAATTACATAGCCGCAGTAGGGCCTGCAACAAAACAAAAACAACCTAAGGAGAAGTACTTAAATCAGGCCCGCTGAATTGTCATCTCTACTAAGTCAGTAATTGCTATGTGGAGTTTGGCAATTTGTAGTTTTTACTGACTTGTTTTTTATTGTCTCCTTTTTCTTACTGGAAGAATAATATATGTTCATATTAGCAAATGTAGATGAGTAAAAAGAATAAAATATAAATCACCATGACTCCATAGTAAGTTATAAGCTCTAGTAATAACTTCTCATATTTTGTAAATCTATACACAATCTATATTCATGACACTGGAATCACACTGGACATACTTTCAAAATTTAAATTTGTAATTTTTTACCTTTTAAGTTGAGGTATAACATAATCAGTAAAGTGCATAAGTCACGGTGGTCAGTGAATTTTTACATAGTACATACTGTTCTGTAACCTTTTTTTTTTTTCACCTAACAATAGAGTGTGATCGTTTCCTGTGTATTAAGTATATTTCTACATTATTAAAATGACTACATAGTATACTGCAGTTGTGGACCATTATTTATTTGATTGTTGGACACTTAATTTTTTTTTTTTTTGCAGCTGGACTGTACAGGGATCCGAACCCTTGACCTTGGTGTCATAACACTGTGCTTTAACCAACGGAGATAAGTGGCCAGTCCCTTTTTTTCCTCAAAATTTTTTGCTATTATGACTGTGTTTTGTTAAAGATAACCATCATTACTACTGTGTCTTGGTACACATTCTTCTTTACAATCTTTGAATAAATTCCTGGGAATGGAATTTTTTAGACAAAGATCAGGTAGAATTCTATGACTTTTGATAAGCCAATTTTCATTTCGGAAAGGATGTACAAATTTTTCTGTTACTGATAGTTGTTGAATGTGTCTAGCACTTTTTACTAACTTTAGAATGCAGAATGTGAGAACATGGTGGTTTAGGAAAAGATTGTGAGTTGCATTTAATAAAATCAGAAAGTGCTTTACCAAATTCCTTTTATAATCATTTTTTTTCTGTTCTTCAGAACATAAAACGTTGTCCTGACAATTCTAAGGAACAAAACTTTTTTTGCTGGTCAGTGTAATTTAGTCTTTGAGGAACTTCACGTCATTTTTTTTTTATTGTGCTAAAATATACATAACATCAAATTTACCATTTTAGTCATTTTTAAGTGTACAGTTCAGTGGCATTAAGTGCATTTACACTGTTGTGCAACCATCACTACTGTCCATCTCCAGAACTTTTTTCATCTTCCTATACTGAAACTCTGTACTCATTAAAAAAAAAAACTCACCTCCCCCTTCGCCCTGGTCCCTGGTAACCTGTATTCTATTTTCAGTCTCTAAATTAGTCTGATCTAGGTGCCTTATATAAGTGGAATCATACACTATTTTTCTTTTTGTGACTGGCCTTTTTTCTTTCTAATTGTGACTGGCATATTTTACTTACTGTAATGTCTTCAAGGTTCGTCCATGTTGTAGCATGTTTCAGAATTTTCTTTCTTTTTAGGGTTGAATAATATTCCATTGTAAGCATATACCGCATTTTGTTTGTTCATCCATCGATAGACCCTTAAGTTTCCTTTACCTTTGTGTTTTTTTTTTCCAATTTTTGTTTTATTGCTTAAATGTGAATTGCACAGTGAATTTTTGCATCTTGAAAAAACTTACTTCACTACACTTAATACATGAATAAAACAAATTAGTTCCATTCTTGGACAGGAAGAAGAAAAACATTTTGGGGAGGAGAAGATAATTGCTGGTAAAATATAATTTTTTTTTTTTTTGGCAGCTGGCCAGTACAGGGATTGGACCTTGGTGTTATCAGCACCACGTTCGAGTCCCTGCTTTTCAGGTCTTTCGTGTGTATACCCAGAAGTGGAATTGCTGGCTCATACAATAGTTCTATGTTTAATTTTTTGAGGAACCACCATACTATTTTCTTTTCTTTTTTTTTGACAACCTCACTGTTTTCCACATGATTTAAAGGCCATTCGTCAATAATTCCGATCAAGATTTTGTGATATCTAAGTAGACCTCCAAATACCTCAAAGGATGTGGTGAAATTTCCAAAACAAAATTAATTGTACAAGGGGCTGTTTCAGTTGGTTAGCATGTGGTGCTGATAACACCAAAGGCTCAGTGTTCGATCCCTGTACCAGCCAGCTACCAAAAAAAAAAAATTGTACTTTATTTTAAAATTCCATACAGAACTTATTATAGCAAGAGAGCATACGTAACGAAGGATTAGTAAAAATGGTGTTTCAGTGCTTTTTTTTGCTTCTCTTCAGAAATAAACTTTAAAAAAGATGCATATATGTGGTTTAGATGAAAAAAATATTGTTTTTCCCAAGGTGATAATTTATAGGGTGTTTAAAGTGTTAAGGCAGCTAAATAAAGTGTTGTATCCCTGACCACTCACCTTCTCTCAATCCCAGATCTGAGCTTTGTTTTTTAGGCAAAATGAACTGAAACACAGATTCCCTGGACCCACCCTAGGCTAGACACTCCTGAATCTGGAGAGAGCCAACCTGAGGGAAGTGGCAGAGCAATCCAGCCAAGGCTGTCATGCAATTCTCCTTCTCACTGTCCTATTTTATTTCTTAAGTACCACAAATTGCTATTTTAAATGATCCTGTTCCTTTGCATGTTTCTTGTCTGTCTTCCTCCATCAGAAGATAAGTCCCATGGAAATTGAGACTGTGTTACTTACAATGCCTTTCCCTACAATCTTGCTGAGCACAAAATAAGCCCTCAATAAATATTTATTGAATGAATAAGTTATCAAATGAATGAAAATTTGCTATCCTAGTGTATTTCCTTCTACTCTTAAACTATTTTTAAAATTGTGAAATATTTTAAACATTCAGCAAAGCATCCACTACACATATTTCACAAATCCCAAGACTTTACCACATTGCTTCAAATTTTCTTCTGTCTCTTAAAAAAAAACAGGAAAAAAGATAAAAAGAGACAGGAGATGGAGAGAGAGCTAATTTGGAGAGTTTGTAACAAAGGGCAGTCTTTATCAACCTCAAAGAGGAATGAATGGTTCATGTGCATCACTTACATAGACTGAAACTACAGATCCCAGGCAGCACTGCAAAGTTAGGCACGTGGTCTATTTTTCTCTCTTTTGTAAACAGCCAATGAGAGGTAGCATTGACAAAGGTGTAGGATGACATCTGGTGTTTTGATTGTGGCCAGCCCTAAAGCTAGTTTTTGCCGTTTGGAATACGCCGCTGTGATTCAATTTTAAAGGGGTTTCTCCTGCTACCTTGAAGCTCACTGTGCCTCTTGTTTCCGAAGGAGAAAAGCTGATTTAGTAATCTAAATGGATGCAATACTGAATTACAGGTCGGAAGATACTGAAGATTACTACATGTTACTGGGATGTGATGAACTATCTTCGGTAAGACAGTGGATAATGCTGTTCTTTCTCACAACAGTGTTTCAAGTCTTTATTTAAGGTTTTAACTTTGAATTTTTAGTCACATTGCCTAAAAACCTTATCTTTTATTATTTTAAAGCAATTTCGACTCAGAGAAAGTTAAGGATTTAAATGTGTGTTGGGTCTTTACTTGAATAATGTCCTATGGCTATATTTTATGGAGGCTTCTGATTATGTATGTGTATTCTGGCACATGGTCATACATTCTATTTCACAATATACTAAAATACATACTTGAAATTTTATGGTAATTGATGATGGCAGTGTTTTTCATAGCATACGTGAGATCTTTATTATCGTGATTCATACTTAATTGAGATGAAACAATTTTCTAGCCAATTAGTGATGTAAAATATTTTGTTAAAATATGTAGTTTTATGTGAGCAGTTAAATTATAAAACAAGGAACATTCTTTTATGTATCACAATATTTCAAATTGTATGATAGAAATTACTTCTTGAAAGGGTGGTTTCTGAAACAAAATGTGTGAAAACTGTGTAGATGTTCACTGGATCTATAATAAAATAACGTTTTTAAAGTTTTAAATGTTTTAAAGCTCCTGTATAAACAATAAGGCTGTAGAAGTTTTTTTTTTAAATTATAGAAAAATCACTTATAATTCTATCGCCTGTTAATATTTTGGCATATTGATTTCCAGTCTTTTTACTATACATGTATTTTGATTCCTGCTTTTTATCCATAAACATTATAACAAGGATTCTCCATACTATTAAATATTCTTCATACACATTTTAATGATTGCAAAATGTTTTGTATTATGGCATTTACCACAATCGAATTATTCTCTTAATGTTAAATATTTTATGTATTTGCAACTTTTCAGTATTTTAAATACTGTTGAGATGAATGTGAAATATATTCATTATTGTATTATTAAATCATATTATTAAAATATATTCATATTATTTATATCATTAATATATATAATTTTATTTATTTTTATTAAAACATATCTATTAATGTTGATATTTTTAAAGCAATAAATATTTATTCTTGTTTTATGAAGGCAAGAGTTTAGTAACCAAATGTACTGCTTTGTTTTGAGAATAGAATGTGATATTGGAAACAAAGGATTAAAATCTAGTTTTACCATGCTGAGGAAGTTATCTTAGGTATCTTGAAGTTAAAAAAAAATACGTGCATACAGAACAGCATCTAATGCTCTTTTATTGCCTGTTCTCTTCTAGATAATGCTATTCTTGTTTACGTTAGTGGTGATTTGCTTATAGCAACTGAGAAAGCTTGTTACCATTTTGACCATATGTGTTATTCACATTTCGGATTATACTATTACCAAATAATTTTTGAAGAAACTATTTAAAATCAAAGGAATATAATTTAACTTGTTAAGTTTAACAATTTGGGTTTTTAAAAATATATGCTAGGTGATAAGGTAAAGGTCATTATATCCCCGTAATAAATCTCTTGCCCCATTTTGTCAGTCTTTTGTCGCTATGCTATTGTCTTCTCAGTCTACAAAGAAGGAGGATTAGTTTTAGAGAGACTCCCCAAAAATGATCCCATTGTTTATGCATAATGTTTATAACAATTTCATTTCATTGACCAGGCATAGCCATCTTCTCAGTCTCAACATTCCCTTTTCTGGATGTCTTTTCACTGATCTGTCAATGGCATAACATATCTAGATAACAATCATTTATTTATTTATATATTTGTGTGTTTATTATTTGGTGGCTGGCTGGTACAGGGATCCGTATGCATGACCTTGGTGTTATAAGGCTGTGCTTTAACCAACTGAGCTAACCAGACAGCCCTGTTTTTAATAAAATGACCTGTCAAAATTTTATCCCTTCTTAATATATATATAATATCCTCTCTTTTCATTTTTATCTTGTCTGTGTGGGTGGCTGGCCAGCAAGGGGATCCAAACCCTTGACCTTGGTGTTACAACATCACACTCTAACCAACTGGTAACCTGCCAGCCATCCTCTCTTTTTTAAAATAGACGTCCTTCTCATTTAAAAAATATGCAATTTTTTTTTTTTGCTTTTTAGTGTGACATTTCCTTTACTTGATTTGTATTGGATGAATTTCTTTTACTTCAAATATTCCTTGATTTGATGCTCTAAAATTAGCCAGAACTCTTTATACCCAAAAGCAATTTAGCAGTTATAATTTCAAAGCAACTTGAAATTTCAATTTTACTTATAATAGTTGAATTGAGAGACCCACATAATAGTTTTGCATTGGTATATAGTTCTTACAACTTATTTCTTATGTTGGAAACTAATTACATATTAAGTAAAGTTATGTATTTTCTAACGATTTTAGAGCAGTAATCCTGAAGCTTTTTCTTCTCAGAGGCTTTTAAAAATCATCCTTAAGAAAATACAATCATCATAATAAACAATGAGAATAATTTCCTACTTTACATGCATGACATACTGATTTCCATGCTGTTTTGTAGAAAATAACATATCCCCCATTTCAAAAAATCTACCAAAGTTTGATCCCAAGTCAGTCAGCCTTTTCTCCCTACATTGGGTTTTACACAAAAGACACGTGCTATAAAATCCTCCGAAGTCTTTATTGATGCACACACCACACACTTGGAGTGTAAAGCACCCTCCTTGGTTTAGATCTTATTTGTTTTTTTAATATTTGGTCACTTTTCTCGTAGTAATGATAAGAAGACTTCATGGACTTGAAAGCTGAACAGAAACCCAATAAATGGAAACGTTTACTTATTTTTTCTAGTTCTCTTTCTTGTTGACTTCAGACTGAGTTCAATTATTATTATTTTTTTTTGTTGTTGGCTGGCTGGTATGGGGATCCAAACCTTTGACCTTGGTGTTATTGACACTGTGCTCTAACCAACTGAGCTAACTGGTTCAGATATTGACTCTGTCACTCACTAGCTGTGTGAACTTGAGAAAATTATTTAACTTTCTATGTCTTGGTTCCTAATTCGCAAATGGTGATAAATAATACCCACCTCATAGAGTTGTTGTGGGGATTAAAAAAGACACAATGTATAAAGTGCTTTGAACAGTGCAGCACAGAGTGGTAAGTTGTGGTTGTGGTTGTGGCTGCTGTTTGGACCTCACAGTGATACTGGGCACTTGGAACTTTATAGATTTATTGTATTCTATAGTTCACACTATTTTTAAGATATTTTATTCTGAAATGTTTTTGACTTTCAGAAAAGCTGCAAAAATGGTGGGCTTGAGACCCAGCTGTGACCTGAGGTCAGGGGCTGGTCCAAAGATCTTGGTCACCCACCCTGACCTCTGCCATTAAAAAAGAAAAGTTGTAAAAATAAAACATAGGGTTCCTACATACCCTTAATCTAGCTCCCCTTAATGTGAACATCATACCTGATGGTAGTATAATGATCAAAACTAGAAAATTAACATCGATACAATACTATTAATTTAACCAGGGGCCAGCAAACATTTTTTTGTAAAGGACCAGATAGATAGGGTCAGGACTAGGGTGAGTCAAGCAGGGAGCTTAGGATGCAAAATTTAAGGAGGCACTAACTCTCAGGCTTACACAAGTACAGAAACAGAGAGAGAGAGGCAGAAACAGAGAGAGAAAAAGAGAGAGAGAGAGAGAGAATGAACGAACCTCCTTAAACCTATATGTCCTGCTTCCCTTAACTGGTGCTGGCCATGAGATAGCTTTGCAGGCCTTATGGTCTCTGTCACAACTACTCAGCTTGGCCATTTTGAGAAAGCAGCCATAGATAATATATAAGTGAATGACTGTGGTTGTCTTCCAATAAAACTTTATTTTAAAAAAGTCAGTAGGCCATATTTGGCCTGTGGTCCAGAGTCAGTCAATCCCTGATTTAAATTAGAGGTCTTATCTAAATTTGTCAGTTTTCCTATTAATGTCCTTTTTCTGTTCCAGGATCTGAGACAGGAGCCCTTATTAAAGTTGGTTGTCATGTTCCCTTACCTTCCTCCAAATCTGGTGCTTTCTCCTATCTTTTTTGTCTTTCATGACCCGGATACTTTGAAGAGTACCGGTCAGCTGTTTTGTAGATATCCCTCAATTTGGCTTTGTCTCAGATTTTCTTATGATTAGACTGAGGTTATGCATTTTTGAAAGAACACTGCAGAAGTGATGTGCCTTTCTCAGTGTATCATATTAGGGTACATGACGTTGATATGTTGTTGAGTTTGATTACATGGTTAAGGTGGTGTTTGTCAGGTTTCTTCTGCCACGTTTTTCCATGATAGGGTTATTATTTTTCCTTTTGTAATTAACAGATATCTTGGGAAATATACTTTGAGACTATATTGTTTCTCCTCAAACTTTCATTCACTGAGTTTAGCATCCTTTGGTGGATCTTGCCTGCACCAGTTACTGCTAGGTGTTTGCCTAATGGTGACTTTTTACCTCATTTGTTTTACATTTATAAGTTGGAATTCTTCAGTAAAGAAAAGCTATTCTTCTCCCATACTTATTTGTTTATTCAATTTATTTATTATTACTGTGGATTAATGGATAGATATTGACTTTTAAGGGTTATAATCCAAATACAACCATAATTTATTTTGTGGCTAAAATTGTTTCTATGGCTCATATTTTAATTAATAACCATTTGATGAGAATGATTTTTTTGTGGAAAAATTCAGTCTCAAATAGAGTGAATTGAAATGATGGATATTAATTAACTCACTTATTAAAATGAGTCTTCTCTTTTCATGTTCATATTCTGCAGCATATGAATTTCCATCACCAGAGTCAGTTCACTCTTTTAATGAGTAAGTCACATTTTTCAGAAAGCTCCTATCTTTCAGAAAGCACTCTATCTGATTATAGACTGACAGATGTTCTTCAAGTAATATCTGTCAGTCTATAATAAAGTAGTAAGTCACATTTTTCAGAAAGCTCCTATCTTTCAGAAAGCAGTCTATCTGATTATAGACTGACAGATGTTCTTCAAGTAATATCTGTCAGTCTATAATAAAGTATTTATTGAATACTTACCATTGGTCCAGTACTAGAAGTGATGGGGTGGGGGGAGGGAAAGAAAACAAAACAAAACAAAAGGTGAGATATGGTGCCAGTGTATAAAAAACTTGACCTACAATTGAGGAGCCAAAATTAATACACAGGAAACAATTTCAGAACAATTAAATACTGTGCTGTGTGGTACTGTCTGTAGGTGCACCAGGAAGTAAAGAAAAATATCTGAAAAGACTTCAGAGAAAAGATTGAGCTAGACAGTCTTACTAGATGGTCATAATTTAGATGCACGGAGAGAGAGACAGAGGGTATCTGTGTGGCTGGGGTGAGCTGGAGAAGATTCACCCAAGTGGGAATCAGATTAGTTTCCATTATACCCAACAGAATTTCCTTGCATAGACCAAAAATAAGACCATATTCTGTGCTAACAGAATACGGAAAAGATAAGTTTTTAAGTTTTAAAATTTAAGCTCTAACATTAATATACACTCAGTAAGGAAAAGTGGCATACAAAGAAAGCATAAAGAAAAATGTTAACATGTATGTTTAACATTTTGGAGTATGACGTATGCATGTTAATTATCTGTACATATATACTATATCTATGTATGTAAACATATGTATGTGTATTTTTCTATGTGTTTGGAATTAGACTGCCCGGGTTCAATTCCTGAATCTGCTACTTACTAGCCGTGTGACCTTGGAAAATTACTTAATTTTTTTATGACTCAGTTTTCTAATCTGCAAAATGGGAATAATAATAGCAACCACCTCATAGAGTTGTGGGAATTAAATAAGACAGTATATGTAAAATGCTTAGAACAGTGCCTGGCACATAGTAAGTCTCAATAAATCTTAGTTACAATAATAATTATGATTATTATCACCATTATGAACATATACATTACATAATCCCTTTTGAGATAAAACATGGATTCATATTGCATATAATACTTACCTTTTCTTGTAGGAAGTATAGTGTATAAATTTTCTCAGGTTCAAAATCTTCTACTACAAGATGATTTTTTAACTTTTTAAATATTTTTTGTGGCTGGCTGGTACGGGGCTCAAAGTCTGGACCTTGGTGTTATCAGCACCATGCTCTAACCAGCTGAGCTAACTGGTCAGCCACCAAGGTCTTTTTTTTTTTTTTTTTTTTTTGTCTTTTTTACTGACTGGTAACGGGGGTCTACCTTTGATAGATAGCTATAATTTTATCTGTTTATGTTATTTGAAAACCCCAATGCATATACATAAATACGTGTTAAAAGTATGTCTTGAAGGATATAACGTGTTATCTTGGGGGAAGAGAGGTAAAAAGACTTTTATTTTTATTCTGTATTGATAGAAATCTTTTCAAACAGAGTTTGTGAGTATTTGTAAATTACTTGTTAATTAAGAAATGACTTCTCTACCTACCAGCCACACACACACAAAAAGGCTCACCACTACCCCTTTATTATTATTATTATTATTATTTTTTTTGGTGGCTGGCCAGTATGGGATCGGAACCCTTCACCTTGGTGTTATAACAAGGCCCTCTAACTAGCTGAGCTAACTGGCTAGCTCTACACTTTTTAGGATATTGAATATTTTAAAATTTAAAAACAAATCTAATTTTTAATTTTATTTGTTATGAAAGCAGGTTACAGTGACTTCTAGATAAAGGGAACACCTAGAAAGAGGAAATACAATTAATTACAGTTCTTAACAGGAAGCCTGTTTCTTTCTGTTATTTTAAGAGGTTCACAGTAGAAGCTTAACAAGGAAAAGAATAGAGTTATTAGTCTGGGCTTTATACATATGCCTATTTAATACAGTCTGACTTTGATTTAAAAATGAAGACTTTTTAAAGAGAATTGACTGAGGATGACATGGAGCTAATAAGAATATGTTTCTCCCATGAATCTTACTACAATATTGACTTGAGCTGCTTGAGAATTCGTTTTTCAAACAAGAGGTAATTTTCTTTCATTAATTAGTGGTGAGTAAATATGGAACCCAATAATAGTTCCCTAAGCCTGTAGAATTTGGCAATATAAAACGGTGGTTAAGATTATAAGACTTAAAATCCGACTGCTTAGTTAACAGAAAACTCAGTTTTTTTAGTAACTAAATGAATGACTTTGGACAAATTACTTAACCACTGCCATTTAATAATAGCTACTGTTATTGAGTTCTGATTATGATCAGGCTTTCTGTTAAGTGCTCTACTTATATTATCAATCGGATGTAAAGATAAGGAAACCTAGACATATGGAAGATACGTCGCTTGCCAAAAGCAACATAACTTATGTTGTACAGACTACCACAGTTCTTGTGGCAGAACTGGGATTTAAAACCAAGCAATCAGATGCCAGCGTCGCATAACTACTATTGTCTCCTGCTACTGTCATTGCAATCAGCATTAATAAAGCCTGTCGCTTGCCAAAAGCAACATAACTTATGTTGTACAGACTACCACAGTTCTTGTGGCAGAACTGGGATTTAAAACCAAGCAATCAGATTCCAGCGTCGCATAACTACTATTGTCTCCTGCTACTGTCATTGCAATCAGCATTAATAAAGCCAAATCTTAGTAATTCATGACAATAGGGATTAGATGGGTAAGTGAAATCAAATAAAATCATGGATGGCCCTCAAACCTCATTTGAGTTTGGGCTGTCATTTCTGTTTTCCCAATCAAAATCTCTAAACAACCTAATTGGTAACAAAATTATCAGGTTTAAATTATGTTCTTTTTCTTTTAATTATGTAATTCTTAATAAAAAAGAAATGGGCTAGAATGCAGGAAAAAGGAGCTTTGTAATGGATACTTTATAAATTATAATTTATAATTCAGGGATAGTCATCCCTAAATAATGAATTGCGGCAAAGCATTTTTGAAGAATTCAGATATGTGAAAACATATTTTATATATTCTTAGGAGAAACTTATCTGATTATTTTGAATATTTAAATATATTGAGCTCATAGGTGTCTTCGGCCATCATTTAAAGACAGTAGCAAGTTAAATTGTCATTACAGACTACTATTTGAATGGGAGTTTTTATCGGATGCTTTCTGAATTTCTTTATCGAGGAAATTATTTCTCAGGGTAAAAAGGCAAATAGAAATATAAGGATCAAAATAAAAAGTTGGGTTAATCATGGCTGTTTTTGGGAGGACTGATGTCCAACTTCTTCCTTCATGCCATTTAAGTTGGACTTATTTTAAACACCAATTTTTGTTTTAGGTTGAACAAATCCTGGCAGAATTTAAGATCAGAGCTCTGGAATGTCACCCTGACAAGCATCCTGAAAACCCCGAGGCTGGTAAGAATTTAATAATGGTTATTTTTCAAGAAAATGAATAGCATATAGAAGCAAAAAGCCATTGAATAGTAACTTAATTTTCTTTTATCTCTTATGCTCAAATTTATTCTTTCATTCAATGCGAAAGGTTGTTTCTGCACTGTTGGGTTGGTAGAAGGGGAGAGGACTGTGTAGTCTTTTACAATAGAAGTTGTTTAGCACTCATTTTTCTTTCTTCCATAATGTGTTGCTTCATGGTTTAAAATTTGTCCAGTTCATGTTTTATTTCACTAGCTATTGAGTGTTAATATGACTGAAGTATGTTTATAACCAGGTGGTTTTCTTGATGAGAACTTGCTGTGTTTTTTTCATTTTGGAGGACCTGAATATGTCCATGTATTGATGCTTTTGTTTCTTTCCGTTATCATCATCATGTTATCATCGTTTAAATATGCTTATGTCATCCAAGCTTGAAAAAATTACGAAAACCCAATAATTCTTCTGCAACATGTCTCTATCCTGCACCTTCCCCATCTCCTTCGTTTCAGAGCCAAACTTCCTGAAAAAACGTCGACAGTCGATATTTCCACTTTCCTTCTCCCCAGTTTTCCATTTATCCCACTCTGACTTTCTCCCCACTTTTCTTGGAAATGGACCAAGGACTTCCTGCTTGCCAAATCCAGTGGTTGCTCTTTAGTCCTTATCTTTCCTGAGCTTGCATCAGAATTTGGCACTATTGACCATATCTTTCTTGTTGAAATACTCTTCTCTGAGCTGCTGGGAAAACGTGCACTCGCGGTTTCCCTCCAGCCTCTTGGGCTGCTCTTTCTCAGTCTCCTTTGTGAGTCCTTCTCGGCTGCCCCAAGGTTCTCTCCTAAGCTCTCTTCTGAGCTTACTTACTCCCCACTCCCTCTCTGGAGCCTTGTCCCAATTTGTGGCTTCAATCACCAGCTCTCTGTTGATGGCTCCCAGATCTCTCCTTAGTCCAGTTCTCGCCCCTCATCTTCAGCCTACAGTTTTGACTGCTTCTTGGAAATCTCCATTTGGAAACTTTTCAGTTGCCCTGTGAAAAACTGGACTCATTAAAAATCTTGCTTATTTTTCTGTGTTTCTGCATCTCAATGAACAACACCACCATCCGTTCAGTTGGTCAAGCAGAAACCTTCTCCTTCCTCTCCCTCATGACTGCGTCTGGTTGATTACCAAGTGCTGTTGAATTACCTTCCATCTCTCTCTCTTCTGTGCTTCTTCCTTCCAACCTCACCGCCACTGCTGTAGGTGAGCCACCCTTTAATTGTTTCACATTGCAGATAGTGATTTTCCTTTTTAATTATGGAAAAAATAAAAGATTTAACATATACAAAAAGGGATAAAGAATACTATAACAGATGCCCATGTAAGTACCACCCAGCTTAAAACAGTACCAGTGCACTTGAAGCCTTTTGTGTATTCCTACTCTGATTTTATCCTCAGGGTAAGGTAATTTTATATCTTAAATTTGATGATTATGTTTACTATATGTTTATAGTATGCATGTATATGTGATTTTTCTATAATGAAAATATGATACTAAGACCTGTCTGTAACTCCACATTGCACAAACCCAAACTCTATTTAGAAAACTTTCTCCTTGTCTTAAAGCTCTTTATTAATTTTCTCTAGAAATCATTGGTCCCTTTGATTTGTATAAACAGATCTTTTTCCAATATATGAAGTCACCTTTTGTTAGATAATTAATCATTACTTTTGTTCGTTGGATTTTCTCCCTTTTTATTAAAGCATATTGTGTGCAGTGTGAGCAAATCATAAGTACAAGCTTAATAAATTTGTGCATATGTATAACCAGTTTAACCACTGCCCGGATGAAGATGTAGAACATTTTCAGCACCCTAGAAATCCCTTTTCATTTTCTGCTCAAACTCAGCAACCTCTTCCATTTTTTGGTCTCTATCACCACTGATTAATTTTGCCTACTTTTGAATTTCATATACTTGGAATCATACAATATGTACTCTTCTGTGTGTGGTTTCCTTTGCTTTACATTATGGTTGTGATATTCACCCATATTGCACGTGTAGCAATAGTTCATCCTTTGTCTTTGCTGGGACTTTAGTTACAAGCCCTTTCATGCTGTGCACCCTCTCAATCCTCCACCCTCGTTTTCTCTCCACCACCAAACTCCTGTTATAGCCACTCAGAACTACATTGGGTCCTTAATGTGCCCTATTCCCTGTTCTGTCTACTCTTCAGACCTCTACACCAACTGCTTCCTCTGCCTGGAGCACCACCGAGGCCTGCACCCTTACCTGCCCTGCTTTGCTGGGCTAGGTCATGCTCCTGCTCCAGGTCTCAGCTTAGCCATCACTTCCTCTGGGAAGTCCCATGTGTACCAGCTGCCCAGAGCACATTGTGCGCCAGGCAGCAGACTGTGTATCTCATCGTCTCCTTGTTGCCTGTTTGCTCGTTAGTCACTGGAAGCTCAGTGAGGCAGCCCCCCTGCTTGTCTTGTTCACAGTGGTATGCCCCGTACCTAGCATAGCACCTGCTGCAGAGGTCACCTGCTGTGCATAATTTCTTGAATGAATATATGAATGAATGAATCCATGAACATTTCCTTAGGAGTCATATTAACCACCTCTCTGAGCTAGAGTTAATATTAAGATAGATGTCCCAGTATAAATTGTAAAAATTTGATAAAGGCTTAAAAACCACCACCACCCTAGGTTATTCTTTAACTGGGTTGTTTTCCAGTGACACGTGACTCTGAGTTGTTTCTCTGCCCCTGACGAGCAATTTCTATTCAGGATACATGATGAATCACTGTGCAATCATTGCCATTTCTAGTTGCCATAGTGATGGCAACTAGAGTTTCATGTATGAGCTGCCTCAAGGCATCTTGTTCAGAGAAACACTGGACTGTGTAAATATTGCTTAAAATGAGTAGGTACACAGACATCAATATCTTCCCTTGTCAGGCTTGCAGTAGATACGTGATTTAACCTTCAGGTCGAGATTCTTTTTTAATCTATTTAGACATCTATTTACTCAGTTTGGACTAATATGACTTTCTGAAAATTTAAAAGGTTCTTTACACACTTGGAAAAGGATTAAGGTTACTTATAAAAATATACATATTTATTTGGGCAGCTGGCCAGTATGGGGGTCTGAACCCTTGATGCTCTACAGAGTGAGTTGTAATTGAGTGAGCTCACTGGCCAGCCTAAAAATATTTTTATAAATTCACCCAGATACTGAATTTTAACTTGACAGAAATCCAGAATATAATGAACAAAGTTTGAAACATATCTCAGTAAGGTGAAGAGCTACCCTGTAGAGGAACTGTAGGTAGGAGAAATTAAACTTGTATATATTACTTTTTCAGACACTAAATTTAGTCTCAACTGTTGCCATTGAAATTGCTCATACGTTAGCGTGATGGAGGAGTAGATATGAACACAGGCTTGTCTGTCTGGATTGCTCCGTCTCCCACTTATGAGCTACTTGACCTTGGGCAACCTCTCTGAGCCTCAGCATTCTCATAGGTAAAATGGGTAGACTAATAGTATATGACTTCACGCATCTGCTGTGAGGATTCAACGAGACGTTCTGCATGTGGGAAGTGCTCAGTGAATACTGGCAATTAGGATTCAGTGGACTTTCTTTTCTTGTTTTTATGTTGCAGCCCAAGATAAAAATTTAACAAAATGGGATGTTTTTCTTTTTTGTAAGCAACCATTAGATCTTTCTCTAAATTATTTTTAAAAACTCTAAATCTAAAGCCTTTAGATATCTCTTCCCCTCTCCAGGTGTGGGTGATATAGCAGGACTGGTTGTGCTATAGCAGTTGGGTCATTGAGCCCAAAAGCTCCTGGCTGGTGCGCCTGTCAGCTTCTTGTGTGTGCACCAGTAACTGTTTCAGATCAACAGTTTATTAACTTCTCTTTGATCATGAAGAAAGGAGGTTTCAGACTAAATTAAGGACTTGTGAGATGGTAGTTTTGTTACTGATACGCAAACTTCAAAGAAACTTGGATATTTAAAGAAGAGCAATTTTCCCTTTGCTAACTTATATATATATATATATATATTTTTTTGGTGGCTGGCCAGTATAGGGATCTGATTTCTTTTTTTTTTTTTTTCCTTTTTGTCTTTTTTCGTGACCGGTAATGGGATCGCAACCCTCAGTGTCGCGCCCGTACCGCGACCGGCAACGGGATCGCAACCCTCGGTGTCGCGCCCACACCATGCCAAACCAGTGAGCGGACCGGTCTCTATATGGGATCCGAACCCTCAGCGGGAGCGCCGCCCTCTACCGAGTGCGCAACCGGGCCAGCCCAGGATCTGAATTCTTGACCTTGGTGTTATCAGCACCACACTCTAACCAACTCAGCTAACCAGCCAAGCCCCTAACTTATCTTTTATTGTCTCAGTGTTTTTCTACTTTAAAATCACTTCAGTGGAATAGACGGTCCCCAGCATCACTCTTTCCCACAAATCAACCAATTTACAACTATTAAAAAGCAACCACAGCTAAACTGGGGCCGCTAGAGCTCAGGGGAAGAGGAGGAGAGACCTACAGAGTTCATGAAGACAGGAGAAGCCACTATGAAAGAAAGAGGGAACTGCTCTGACCGTTTTGAGTCCTGGCCACTTCCAGGCTGGAGCTGGTGAGCTCATGGAGCAGGAGCTGGCAAAAGCCACAGCTGTGTCCTGCCACACCGTGCCAAACCAGTGAGCGGACCGGTCTCTATATGGGATCTGAACCCTCGGCGGGAGCGCCGCCCTCTACCGAGTGCGCAACCGGGCCGGCCCGGGATCTGAATTCTTGACCTTGGTGTTATCAGCACCACACTCTAACCAACTCAGCTAACCAGCCAGCCCCTAACTTATCTTTTATTGTCTCAGTGTTTTTCTACTTTAATATCACTTCAGTGGAATAGATGGTCCCCAGCATCACTCTTTCCCACAAATCAACCAATTTACAACTATTAAAAAGCAACCACAGCTAAGCTGGGGCCGCT